GACTACCTAAGAAAAGAAATAAGGCAGGAATATGTTTATAGCTTCTGTTATATTAACCTTTTTATTTATAATTTCTGGTACTCTTAATTTATTTTTGCAGATTCAAGTTACTATCTGGAGTAATTTCCTTAGCCCAATACAACGTTGCTCCCATGAACCTCCTTAGTGCTGATACCAGTAAATATATTACATTTCTATATATTATAATTTTAAAAATACATTACATACATATTGTTTTATATAACTACTTTTCAAGTTGGGTAAGAGAAGGAGACAAATATACATTTACGCTTCTTTATAATTACATAATTACTTTACTAGTATCTTTGTTTTTTCATAAGAATTGAATTACCATTTAGGAGTACTTAATTTCAGTCTACCTTCCTTTATAATCTCACAGTGGTCAATCTCACAGGCAGTTTTTGTTGCTTGCTTTTTTTCTCACGGAGTATGGGTCATTCTTTCCTGTTTCCTTGCATGACTAATAATTTTTGTTGGAAATTGGATATTTTAGATAATGTATTGTAGCAAATCTGGGTACAGGTGCCTCCTCTCTAGTGCTTGTTGTTGTTATTTGCTAAGTTTTGTTTGTTTGTGTCAGGGTCAATGATATTGCTGACCGAAAAGGGAAGGTTTATTGGTTTGACGCCCAGTTGAAAGAATGCACAAGAGGCAGACATGAGAATGAGACAGCAGGCACCGACTTTATTACATGGAGCTCACTTCTGTTGAGAAGTGCAGTTCTATTGGGGAGTGCAGTCTATTGCATGGGGCACACAGTCTTGCGCACACTTCTTCTGCTCCCCTTTCTGTGCTCCCCTTCTGCTCTCTTGGGACCGCGTGTCTCCTCACATAGCAGAGAACAAAAGTGCCATTCAGCCACACATGCGTGATACAATAAGCTGAAACATGTTTACATATTTTCTAAGTCTGGGGTCCTATGCTTAGATGCAGGCCTGGATCACAGCCAGACCTTGGACCAGCCAGGCCTTAGATAACAGCCAGACCTTGGATTACAGGCCTGGTGTCCACAGTTTGTTTGTTTTTTTGTTTTTGTTTAGTAACTAGCTGGGTTATTTTAGTAAAGTCTATTTCTCTCCTGCCCTGGTAAGCTTCTGATATTGCTCCTCAGGGAGCATATCCTTGGTTTATGTCCAGTCACTCTGGGTTAACAGTGGTTTTCACAGGGTTCTCTTTGACTGTCTCATCTCTTAATCATACCCAACTGTTAAGCTCTACTAATTGCTGAATAATTTCTTTATTGCTTTCACTAATGTCCTGGGGCATAAATTGCTCACCAATAAACCAATGAAATTCAGACTCCTTTGAAGGGATAGTTCTGAAGGTCATTTATTGAGATTTGTTCTGACGCCAGTCTCCTTCCAGCTGTCCTTCCCAGGTTCCGTCATACAAACTAGCCAGCCTGCAGTTTCATTATATGTTCAACGATTGGACTAATAATCACCTCAATCCCCTGTCAGTACAACTTTCACTGTTTTTGAGAGCACCTTTAGACTTGAACTTCTCCAAACTCTTCCAAATGAGGTTTGTTCCTTTAGAAAGAGAATAGGAGCTCTCTGGCTTATGGCTTGCTCTGCCTACACGCAAAATCTTTGAGTTATGACTAAAGGGCTAGAAGTGGAGACAATAGCAAGCTTCACTCTGAGTAACACTCCCAATTTAGAAGCTGAGTATTCAGTAGTGGTGGTGGTGGTGGGGGGACAGTACCTTTAGCTCTTTGTTGCTTGACTCTCTCTCCTAGCATGAAACCACTGCCTAACTGGACAGGAGAAAGATGATTGGGGTCCCAATAGTCTCAGCAACACCACACCCAGGGTAGAAACTCCTTGGAGTCTGGGCAGAAGAGAAACTCTACCTCTCACCTACACTTGCCCATAACTTAGCTTCAGTAACAGGTAGGTGGGAATAGGTTGAGAAATACTGACATCCTGCCCTTCGTGGGATAAAATAGCTCTCCAACTGGGAGCTAAAGGAGATGGGGCCTTATGTTCCTGGCTGCACCAGACTGGAGTGAAGTTTCCATCTTGCTAAGTCGGGAGGGAAGAAGGAAGACATGATCTCAGTTCAAATTCCACAGACCCTCACTGTTCTTAACACATTTTAATAAATTTTCTTGAATGTGTTTCTTTTGTTGCTGTGTCCTCTGGCCATATCCAGAGATTTTAACTGGTGGTTTTAAAATAATCTTTTGCTAGTTTTGCTGGTGAGCGAGTCCAGAGTTCCCCATGCTGTCACGCTACCCGTTTTCTTTATTTCTTCTTTCTGGAACACGTTATTTTCTTAATAGGATTTATGTTAGAACTTCTGCTATCTTTTATGTTTCAAGCTACCATATTTTCAATCTCTTTATTTCTCTCTGCATCCTGGGTTTTTTCTTGAGTTCATAATCCACCTCATCATTCTAATTTTCTAAATCTGAGTTTCTAATTTTGACTATATTTTAAATTTCCTTCGGTACTAATTTTTTTCAACCTGCCTAGTATTTTAAGATAGAGATTTGTTATTTTCATGTATTTTTTCATCCCGTGGCTTTATTTCTAGTCATTATTCCTGATCCATTCATAAATTCTAAGGAATTCATAAATTCTAAAGATTCCTTCTTTACTAAGTTTGTTTGCTATGAATGTTAAATAGTATGAAATACTTTCTGTGTATATTGTTTTTAATCTTATTTCAAACAGGGATGTTGTCATCTTACTTTTCATGTTTAAATGGGAGTAACTTTGAATATAATTTTTTTTTTGCAGCTCATATTAATGGATAGGAAAGCATTAAAAGCTGATGGCTGCTAACATCCAAGAGATGACATTATGACTCTCCTAATGGAAGAACATACCACACCTCCTTTTAAGTAGTCCTCAAAAAAAGATGTCTAGATTCAATTTATCAGTTTAGAGGTAATAGAGGACAAAGGACTATATTAAACTACACTATGGGGATATAGTAATAAAGATCTGTATTATATGAACCTGTCAAGGATAAGCAACTGGGTTTCAGAGAGAGAAGAGAAGGGGGAGGGGAGGGGGAGGTAGAGCACAGAGATTAAAAATAAAAACACATACCAAACACTTGCAATGTGTAAACTCTAACGGATCCTGATTCAAATAAACAATGTGTAAAAAATGGCATTTGAGACATTTTAACTTTTCAATATTCACTGCATATTTGATGACATTAAGGAATTTTTATTAACTTTGTGTGCTGTTTCATGGCTACCTTAAAAATAGTTATCCTTTAGAAGTAACATTGAAGTATTCATGGATGAAATTATGCAATATATAAGAAATGCTTCAAAATAACATGAGAGGGTAGTGGGTGGGTTTAGAAGAAATAGATTGGTTAATTCTTAAAGCTGGGTGATGGATAAGCATTCATTACTATACTTTGTATTTTTGTATATATTTGGAGTTGGCCTTCCTATGAGGGAGGGATTTGTACACTAAAGTGAGGTCAAAAAGAGCAGTTCACTAATGTGTCATCACATTCCGATATGTAGACTTTTTAACCCTGAATCATCTAGAAAATTGAGGGCATAGCTTGAAAGCACTGACAATTTCCTTTAATCTTCTCCAAATGAAATCATCAAATGATTTTTTTATTCTGAAAATATTTTATGTTGCTCTGCAACAAAATACTTATGAAATCAAGTCCATATCTTTTTCAGGTGCCTAGTATGAAAAACTCCAGGATGTACTGAGGTTAATTTGCAAAATATTTTGTCTAAAATGTAACCTTGCTATTCTAGCTTCTCTACTCTTTTTCTGGTTAAAACTTTCCATATGAACTATTCTGGTTGTCTCATCCTCAAATTCATTTAAAAAAAAAAAAAAAGGCAGAACAAAAATAAGCAAATCATAAAGCCGATAAAAATTTTTAAGTAGATGCAAATGTATTCATCAGTAACTTGGCTCTCTTCCAAGAGCCTAGTCACTAAGCTAGAACTTTTCCTTTATGCCCATAATCCACTAGGGAAACTTCCAGTCTCAAAACTGATCATGGTGTTCACTTAAGTAGTTATAAAAAATTAAAAATGGTGATGAATCATAGAAGTGAGAAGTATTGGAGGAAAAATGGTCAGCAAAGTCCTCAAGGAGTTATGAGGAAAATTATAGTAATTTTGTATAAGGAGTGAATGATGAGTAACAGAAAACAGGGATATACTCCATTTGAGAAGTCTGGAAATAAGGATGCTAGAAAAGGCTACTACTGGATCAAGAAAAGTACCTAAGTTGGGGAGTACCTCCTGAAGGTAGCAAGAAAATTGCCAGTTTTAGCTTTGACATTTTCAGACATCTAAAACTGAAGAAAAGTATAGTATACAGTACCATGTAGTGAAAATGATCATGGGTTACAGAACCAGAGAATCCTTGGTTCAGATTCTCTAGGTTCTTCATGGATCTTTAACATGCCACCAGAGTTGAAACCACTGCATTAGAGAATGCAAGAGTCATAATCACATGTAACCCAAACATTAAATCAATATTAATGCTAGAGGGTAACTGGTTTATTTTACTGTTTATAATTAGCTTATTTTCTTGAAGGTAGTCTCACAGACACAAACACATTGACTTCACAGATTCTTTAAACAGACAAAAGATACATCATTAAGGACCCATTAATAGAACACAGTAAGAAAATTAGTAATTCTGGGGAAAAAAAGATCTTCCTGTGATAGAAGACAAAACAGATTCCTATAAGACTGACAACAAAAAAAGGGTAAGAGGCAAGCTTCCATCTTATTAGAAAACAAAAAGCTACAATTTGTAAAATAATTCATCAACTCATAAAAAGTAGAAACAAGTATAATATTAATTTAAAGAATATCTGGCAAATTATGTATGTATATAGTCTCTTAGATAGTTTAAGACTATACCAGTTTTAAATGGCCAGCTTTTTCAAGAAGTTGTTGTAAACACAAGTAACACTGTTAAGTCATTAATGATCCTTTTTTAAAAACAAAGATAGAACTCAAACAGAACTTTTCTTAGCATTACCATCTTAAATTTTGCTTTATTATGAGAAATAGTGTGGTTTTCAAAAACTGGATCCAAGTCATTTTTATTTTATTTTTTTACAGCAGAAAAGAAAAGCTTTATTAGAAGGGAAAGTACACTTCTACATGTGGAAGTGGGCCTGAGCAAGAGAAGTGTGGCTCAAAAGGTCTATTTTTAAACAACTTTACTATTTGATTATATTCATTGTAGAAAAAAATGTAAAGGCAGAAAAATATAAAGGAAATTAAAATTATCCAGTATCCCCTCCAAATACAATCACAAAAGATAATCTCTTTCTAGTTGTTTTGTACATTTACATAGAATTTTAAAACAAAATTAGTACTGTAAAATGTTTACATAACCTTTTTTTCATTTCATATTATAGAGCGATAAATTCTTCAGGACATTACTGTGTAAAAACATGATCTTCAGTTGGCTGCTTCACAATCTAATTAGAGCTAAACCATAATTTATTTCCAATTTTTGGATATTCAGATTGTTTTGAATATTTGCTATTACAACTAATACTAAACATCCTTCTTTATACATAATTCTTGTATGTATTTCTGCTAATTTTTTAAAGATAAATTCCTAGGAGTAACCTGCACAAAGGGTGTAAGTATTTTTAAGCCTTTTGATACATTTACCAAACTGCCCCCCCGACCCCCGCAGAGAGACTGTACCAATTTACAGTGACACCTATAAAAAGCCCAAAAGTCTCAGTTCATCTTCATATTCCCCGGCAACACAGGAAACTGGATGTTACCTCCTACCCTTATTATAAATTGAATAGGGCATGGGTGAATGGTGTCTTCTTGTCTTTTTTCTAAAGTGTAAGAAGTTTCCCACATGTTTACTCGTATTTGCTTTCCCTCTGTTTTCTGAAGCAGTCCATGTTTTTCAGAAGGCATCTTTCATATTGGAAATGTCTTGTCTGATCACACGTTTTTCCTTGGCAGGGAGCAGCATGAAAGCCTTTCTGCGTATTTTCAAGTTGAGTGGGAATTTCCGAAATGATGAGAATTAGAAAGTCTTCTTGTCTTCTGAGCAGCCATGCTATTTTTAATGTCTTGGTAATAAAACAGAAAACTGGGCCATATTCTGAAAGGAAGCAAGTAGGCACAGATCACAATTAACCAAACACTCACTGTAGGCAGTGACTAATATGCATGATAATCACCTGGAATGCTGGTTGAAAACCCTATTTTAGTTTTCTAGACTGAGGGCTCATGGGACATACACTTTTAATAAACTCTCCAGAAAATTCTCATGTTCACCAAAGTAAAAATCACTAACCAGATATGGGACTTTCTGCGTAACTCTTAACTCTTAATTCCTCACTCTCTTTTCCTATAAAGTGAGGTTTATAATGCTTATCTCAGAGGACTGCTCTGATTCTCACTTTTCTGCAACCCCTTTTGGACAGAGGTCCCCAACCCCTGGGCCATGGACCAGTACTAGTCCATGGCCTGTTAGGAACTGGGCTGCACAGCAGGAGGGCAAGCGAGCAAGCGAAGCTTCATCTGTATTTGCAGCTGCTCCCCAGCGCTAGCATCACCACCTCAGCTCCACCTCAGATCATCAGGCATTAGATTCTCATAGGAGCACCGGTCCCTGGTGCCGAAAAGGTTGGGGAGTGTTGCACTAGGACACTTATACACCAACCCACAGACTGGATTTTTGTTCATGCAACCTCCATTTTTTACCTTATCCCACTGAAAAAACTCACTGAAATTTTAATATGTTAGTATCTCCAAACAGAATAGGATCTTCTTCCTGTCAGCAAGTCTTATGTATGTTTGCCAAGCACAGCTTCACAATATTGGGCACTCACTATTTATGAAATGAATTAGTGAATGAATAATATACATTGCAGTGTTGACAGGACTGAAAAACACTACCCCGGAATAAAGAGTTACTGTAAGGTGTTCCTTAATGCTATAGAATAAAGGCCATAATTCTCAATTTTGTCTAGAGCGGCAATTCTTCATTTTGTCTTTTACGTCATATATCCCTTTGAGAATTTGATGAAAGCTACACATACTAACCCTTTTTAAAAATGTATACATAGAAAACTACACAATTTTACACACACTTTCAAAAGCTTCAGAGAAGGAGAGGAGAACAATGATTTCTAACATCCAGCATTTTTACTTAAAAATGAAGCTGAAATAATCTATTGTTTGACAAATTCTCAAGTTCAAGAGACTATATATTCAAAATGGGGTTAGTTGGGAAACCTAAAGAACAAAAAACAACAACCCATCACATCTTGCAGATAACATTAACTTCAGCAGCAGCAGCAGCAAAAGTACGAGTCACATTTCCCATAAATCAATAGTGTGCTTATTTAAAGGAACTGAAGTTGTGTTGCTCTATTGCATAATACTCACATTCACCTGCATGTAAATGTTTCTAAACAAATGGCCCCCAACTCGGCATTTATTTTCTGTTCTCCTTTTCATGATAAGAAGGGCTTTCTGTTTCAATTATGAGGAAACACTTCTTAGGAAAAGGGGCTATCATTTATTCATTAAAGAACATTTATCCTCTAGACCTGGTAGAGCAGATAATAAAACTCTCCCCACCTCAGCTTCCAATGGCTTTGCATTACCAGCCAGATATGACTACACAATTTCACGAAAGGTTATTATGGTAGTAAATGGCATGCAAACTTCTAGAAAACATCTAGGTTAGTATAAAATACGTGAGGGGATGGACCAAGGGTGAAATGCAAATAAGAGGTAAGGCAGCTGAGGACCTATGGAAGTGTCTGCCTGCAGATGGCTGAGGATACTTACCTTCAGATTATGGAGAGTTTCTGACCATTCCATGGACCCTATCTGAGGTATGGTAGTGAGAAGTAAACTCTTGGCTTTATTGGCATTTTCTTTCAGGGTCTTTAAAACCCGGTCCACTGAAACCTAGGAAAACAACAGCATGGGATTATTTCAAACAATTAAAAATTCCACTGCTTTCATAGAACGTTATCCTGAGTTCTCACCTGATCTGTGAAGTCAGTTTACTCTAGTTTCAATCCTGAGCCCAAGTCCTGCATTTATCAAGAGGGCTTAGTCCCAGGGGGAGGTATTGGAGAAACTCAATGACACCTCTGAAAAGCACCACTCGTTTTCAATATGGTGTCTGAGAAACTGTCTCAGATGTATAATGTGTTAGCATTGTTCAGAAAGCTGTGGCTATTTTCCCTATGTCCACAGAATGGATTCCAGTCTTAAAACTATCACTACACTGAAAAATCAACCAGTCAGAAGATAAACACATCTTTAAAGAAATCTTCTAGCTAATAAATAAAAACGATGCACTCAAAGTACCACCATTTTTCCTTTTTAGAGCTCCCAATGAATGGATGAGTTGCTAACATTACAAAACAAAACAAAACAAAAACAGCCAAATCAAATAAACAACCCACTATCCTGACGGAAAAACAAAACACTATGACACCTGAATCTGATTAAGTCTTTAGATCCAGCTGCCAATTTACAGAAAGTACAGAAGACAGAGACCTACTACTCTAAGGAGATGATTTCTGCATTTCAGACTGGGAAACTGTACAGTTCAAACGACGAGTTTCTTTTTAGAAAGTCTGGAAAGAAAAATCATTTGAGATATTTGAGATAATTAGAAACTGGAATTTTGCCTGGGTTTATTAAGGAATTACTGTTGGCATTGTGATTATATTAGATAATTATGGCAATGTGGTTCTGTTAGATATCTCCATACAGGTTTATGGAAAAAGTTATGGATCAGAGTATAGATAAAATACGATTTGCTATAAGCTGATATAATGGTTGAAGCTGGATGTTGTAATCACAAAAGTTCATATTATTGTCTACTTTTTTCTTTAAATTGTACAATTCAATGAGTTTTTTTCAATTATAGTTGGCATACAACACACCAGCCTCAGCTGTACAGCATATTGATCGAAGATCTGCACAACTCACAAAGCGATCACCCCACCAAATCTAGTATCCCTTCTCTCCCCCCACATATTCATTCCAAGATTAACTATCTTCCTCATGCTATACTCCACATCTCCATGTCTATTCTGCAACCATCCACCTGCACCTCTCAATCTCTTTGCCCTCCCCCCACCATTATTGTCTACTTTTATATATAACTAGAGAATTAAAAAAATGGTGGAAAAGTTGTGAATATGAAATGGATGATCGGAAGTAGAGTACTTGTCACACTTCACTATGCTTAGAAGAAATCTAAAATTCAGGGGCACAATGATTACACCTTTCATTCTATTTCCTGGAGTATAAAGTCTAGACTCCTCCCACAAACACCAAGATGTGTTTAGAAAAAAGTGATAAGTACTGTAGCAGAGGGAACACAAAGCAGTGGCCAGCTGGGTGCCTGCCAGGTACATGTACAGACACATTTTAGGTGGAGTCTTTGAATGCTGGGTCAAAGCATCCAAGAGGTTTACCTCATATTTAGTCTTTTCCTTATACTTTTCCTATGGCTGATATCTCTATATGGATCCTGACCTCTGTTCCTACTGCTGGGCTCCACCCGAAATGCCTTTCTACCAATCTCCTACAACCGAGCCTCACCCTCTGTTCAATGTCCAGTTCAAATCTCAAAAATTTCCTTCTTCATAAACTTTTTGGTCTTTCCACTCCCAACTCCATCATTGCTGCCATCTGATGACCACGTCCTAGGAGCCGGCATTACACCTATCATTTGGCTTAATGCTCCCAGTAATCCGGCAAGGTCACAACAACAACTGAACAACTCACACCTCTCATCTCCAGGCTGTGGCTCCATCCTACAGAAAAGGATAACTTGTTAAATAACACGCCCAGTGTCACATGTAAATGGAGGAACAAGAATTTGAAGGTGGGTTTAGAAAATCGAAAACCTTTTTATCACGCCAGGCTGCACTGGTTTGAAGCACAATGATACACTTGGCTGGTCAAGATGATGTCAACTTGGTTATTCCTTCTTTGTGGCATTTAACATTATTTCCCTCATGCCTTACTCACTTACTAGTTGCTCTACTTTTAACTGAAGTAGCTCCAACTGACTGCTTTCCAAACCTCATGTGACCCACTAAAGGAAAGCACCGTTAGCTCAGTTCCTAGACTGAGCAGAAAGCCACAGGCAGGAAGCAATCTGTTCTCAGGGAGTGGCAGAGGCTGAAGTCTATTAATTGGAAGCAGCTTCTCAATACCATGAAGCTGAGCTATCCCTTAGGTGACCAGAGCTGCCAAGTCAGGGATTATGTTGTATCAGGATTTATAATCTTACATAAAAAGCATCCCCATAGTTAATTACACTGAAGAGTAAGGTATTTGTGCAAAACAAAGAGCCAGTGTTCATCTATGACTCAAATTCCATTCACATGGATGGACAGAAAGCAAGATATCCTCCTGTTTTACATGAAATTGGATGGTGAAATAAGCAGCTCTGGGTTGGTGTTACGTAAGAGCGACCCTGCGGGAGATGTCACCTCTTTTAAATGTGCTCAGAAGAGCCACCCTACACTTCACAATTCCTTGTAGTTTTATCCCTTTCTGCATTTTAAAATGAGACAAATGATCTGGTTTCTTCAAGTAAAATGCAAGGAATGAAAAGAAAGAGGGGAATATTAGATTAACAGAGACTTGAGACATTATGCAAATGCAATGTATGGATTGTAAGGGACCCTGATTTGAATAGTCGAAAATGAGGACCACAAGAGAAAAAATGTGAACAGTCTGGATATTTGGTTATATTAAGGAATATCAATATTTTTTGACCTAATAATGATCTTGCGGTTATTTTTTTATTATTTTTTTTTTTAAAAAAGAGATCTTTTAGAAAAATATTTGCTTCAAAATAACGAGGGCAGGGGAGAGGGAAGTGGGTGGGGGTATGTATGTGACACAAAATTGGCCATGGCTGGTAATTATAGAAGCTGAGTGTTGGGTAACTAGGATTCATTATACTAGATTCTCTACTTTTGCAGATGTTTGAAGTTTTCCACAATGAAAGTATTTGTTTTGGAAGCCTGACATCAGTAGTCCAGCGTCCTCAAATGCCAGCTGGACCTTGCTGTCTTTCCTGCCTAAAACCTCTCACTGTCCTCCCACCTCAGATCCTTACCCAGACTCCATGGCTTTGCCTCTTTCTCTCCCCATCTGCTCCACTCAAGCAAGCCTATCTTCCCCATCACACTTAAGGAAGGCTTCCCAGACTTCAAATATAGGAGATGTACTCCTATATTTCGCCGCACTATTTCTTTATAATCCTGAGCCTTCTCATGTTGGTTTGCTTAATCTCTGCCCCAACCCCACTACCTCCCACAAAAAAACCCAGAACGTTGGCTCTTTACAAACCTGTCTGTTTGCTGTCATACTCCTACATCGAGCATAGAATGTTAGGTTAAACAGATAGACATGAATGTAGAGTTCACTTACTAGGAAGAGGTAAGATATAGTTTTCCCCTTTGAAAAAAATAAACAGTAGCTCAGCACAAGGAGATATAACCAATAAATACCTTTATCCTTAAAATAAGGCCCAAGTCTCAATATGATTCCCAACACTCCTATATGCCTACAATGCTGATCCTTAAATAAGTGTCTTTCCTTCCTATGAAGATCTTGGTTCTCACTTTCCAAAGGGAACATATCTAGTACTATCTAATGTCAGTGTATTAACAGCTGACTTTAAAACCTGGTAGGAAGGCAGTTTCTAGAACTAATGCAATAGAAACAAATAGTTAAGATCCTCTCTCAATGGTGATCATAGCCATACGTGTTCAGAAGAGAATTCCACATACCGCTTCCTCATGCTCCTTCCAGCAATCATAATCTGTTGCCATGGCGATACTTGCATAGCAAAGTCCAGCCTCTTTAGCAAGAACCACCTCTGGAACTGTGGTCATATTGATAACATCTGCCCCCCAGCCGCGGAACATGAAACTTTCTGCCCGTGAACTAAAACGAGGTCCTTCGATTGTAAGCATTGTTCCTTTTGAGTGGCACCGGAGTCCTAGTTTCTTAGCAGTCTCTATAAGGACCTAGCAAAGGAAGAATTGTAAACTCAAAACATGCAAGCATACATATAGCTTAATATTTTATGTTCTCCCTGTTTAACAAGTCGATCACTTACTTAAAGGTTTTTATTATAAAAGCCTAGTAGCTGCAGGCCCTCAGAGGAACTTGGGACATCAGTTTCCTAGATTCTCACCCACTTACATTGTTTCCCCAGCCCCTACTCATATAACTCACAGGGAGAAGAGCCAACAGTGAGCTTTTTCTAAGCGTCAGGAATTTGTTTACATGTTTCAATCCCACTTACTTCTTAACAGCTTTAAGAGACGAAGCTGAGCTATGAAAAAGGACTTGAGTCTGAGCACTTAACCTCTAAGGCTCAGCTAAGGTGCTGCTCCTTATCCACATACCTCAAGGAGATGTGCTGAGAACTGTTTCCAAGCACCTGAGAAATTCATTCTCATTACTCTTCTATTCAAAATCTGAAGACTTTTGTAAGAGCTTTTTTTGATTAGAAAGCGATTTCTTCAAAATCTTTTTTGCCCATTGCCTCTCTGAGGACACACAGTAAAAACAGGACGGAGCCATGAGCAGATGTTTTCTGTACAGGGATAAACTTATCTTGGTGCCTCTTTAGTGGCAAGGTCACACATGCATCTCAGAAACATTTAAAAGTCTGACCACTTTTCCCAGTGTCTTTAATAATAATGCACATGTTATTTAATAAATAATGCACATTTAATCTCCAGGTTATTAATTTCATTTTTTCTTAGCCTGTGCTTCAACATTCCTTTTTAATTAAAAAATAAAAAAGTAGTCTTTTAAGCTTGTTAACCTACTTAAGCATTGCTGAAAATTCACTAGCCTTTGTATGTCTTAGTTTTCTCATCTGTAAAATGGGAATAATACTGTATAATACTGTGAGGATTAAATGAGCTAAGAATTGTGTCAGGCACATTGTAAACATTACATAAATGCTAAACTTGTCTTCTATCGATTATTAATATAGCCAGTTCTCAAATAACAACATTTTGTGATAATGTTGATGAGACAAAAAGAAAATATTGATTCCTGGCTGGGGCCACTGTCTTTATGCAGTTTGTACATGTTTGCATGGGTTTTCTCTGGGTACTCAGGTTTCCTCCCACACCCCAAAGATGTGACATTAGGTTGTATCTAAATTGTCCCAGTCTGAGTGATGATGGGTATGTATGAGTGTGCCCTATTATGGAAAGGTAGGTTCTCGCCTGGCTCCCCAAGCTGCAGGGACAGGCTCCAGCCACCTGTAACCCTGAACTTGAATAAACAGGTTGAAAAATAATCATCTTGTTTCTATTCCTTTATCCTTTTGAAAAAAAAACTTATATTTTTATTTGTTCAATTATAGTTGACATACAATATTACATTAGTTTCAGGTGTACAACACAATGATTAGACATTTATTTAACTTACGAAGTGATCATCCTGATAAATGCAGTACCCATCTGACACCATAGTTATCACAATATGACTATATTCCCTATGCTATACTCTACATCCCCATGACAATTTTGTAACTACCAATTTGTACCTCTTAATCTCTTCCCCTCTTTGCCCATCCCTCCAACCCCCGCCCCACAATCCAGTAACCGTCAAAATGTTCTCTGTATCTATGAGCTGTTGTTTAGATTCCACATATAAGTGAAATCATGACATTCGTCTCTCCCTGACTTACTCCACTCAGCACACTATGCTCTAAGTCCACCAGTGTTGTTGCAGATGGCAAAATTTCATTCTTTGTTATGGCTGAGTAATATTCCACTGTGTATGTATGTATGTATGTGTGTGTGTGCACGTATATATACATATACATATACGCACGCATACACACACACATCTATATCTATACATACACTATCTCTTCTTTATCTATTCATCCACTGATGGACACCCAGGTTGCCTCCATATCTTGGCTGCTGTAAATAATGCTGCAATGAACACATGGATGTACATGTTCCTTTGAGGTAGTTTTGGGTTTCTTTGGATTAATACCCAGAAGTGGGATTACTGGGTCCTTCTTTAACTGTTGTTATAGCCTTTGTTTTAAAGTCTATTTTGTCTGGTGTCTGTATTGCTACCCTAGCTTTTTTTCCCCCCGTTTCCATTTTCATGAATTATCTTTTCCATCCCTTTACTTTTAGTCTGTATGTATCTTTCACTCTGAAGTGAGTCTCTTGTAGGCGGCATATGTAAGGGTCTTATTTTCTTATCCATTCAACCACCCTAACTTTTAATTGAAGCATTTAATCCATTTACATTTAAAATAATTGTTGCTAGTTATTGCCATTTTATTATTCATATTTTGATTTTTTTTTCATCTTTTTAAACAAGTCCCTTTAACATTTCTTGAAATACCAGTTTGGTGGTGATGAATTCCTTTAGCTTTTTCTTGCCTGTCCGGGAAGCTCTTTATCTGTTCTTCAATTCTAATAGCTTTCTTTGCTCAGTAGCGTAATGTTGGTTGTAGATCCTTACTTTAAATCACTTTGAATATTTTGTGCCAATCCCTTCTGGCCTGCTGTTTCTGTTGAGAAATCAGCTGACAGTCTTATGAGAGCTCCCTTGTAGGTAACTGCTTTTCTCTTGCTGCTTTTGCGGTTCTCTGTGTTTAATCTTCACCATTTTAATGATGATGTGTCTTGGTGTGGGCCTCTGGCTTCATCGTGTATGGGAATCTTTGCACTGTCTGGGCTTGTATGTCTATTTCTTTCACTAGGTTAGGGAAGTTTTCCATCATTATTTCTTCAAATAGGATTTCAATTCCTTGCTCTTTTGCTACTCCTTCTGGTATCCCTATGATGCAAATGTTGGTATCTTGATGATATCCCAGAGGCCCCTTAAATTTTCCTCATTTTGGGGGGATTCTTTTTTCTTATTGATACTGATTGGGTGTTTCCTGCTACCTTATATTCCAAATTGTTGATTTTATCCTCTGCTTCATCTTATCTGTTGATTCCTTCTAATGTATTCTTTATTTCAATTATTTCACTCTTCTTTTCTGACTGGTTCTTTATGTTTTCTCTCTCCATTTTTGTTTGCTATCTCTTTGTTGAAGTCCTGACTGAGATCACTGAGCATCCTTATAACCAGTGTTTTGAATTCTGCATCTGGCAGATTGCTTGTCTCTATGTTGTTTAGTTCTTTTTCTGGAGCTCTGTTTTGTTCATCTGAGACATGTTCATCTACCCATGTTTCTTTGGCTGCCTCCCTGTTTTTGTTTCTATGTATCAGATAGAGCTGCTAAGTCTCCTGGGCTTAGTAGTGTGGCCTTATGTAGATGTACTATGGGGCCCAGTGGCAGTCTCCCTGGTCACCTGATCTGGATGCTCCAGGTGTATGTCCTTGTGTGGACAGGACTCTTTTAATCTTTATGTGGGGGTCCTTGGTTTGTCTAGACTAATAATACCTGAATTAATTTGGTCTCAAAAAAGGCCAGAAAAGGTAACTATTGTCCACCACACATTTACATGTGCTCTGTACATATCACTAGCATTTCTTCCCCATCCTCTACCCCTAACACTGTAAGTCACTACTTTCTGCCTGGGGTGAGATTAGGCTTCCTATGAACATGCGCTCTCTCTCCCTAGTCTATTTCTTCCCAAGCTGTCCCCATTTTGAAAGGGACACGAATTTTATACACATCTTATTTCCCCTGAAATCTCCAGATTTATTTTAGCTTTTATGGTCACCCCTGCACAGTCATATAAAAACTAGTTTCCCCAAAGCTAACAGCGAGGGCACCTTAACCCCACTGTGGTCTCAAAAAAAAAAAAAAAAAAAGAAAAAAATCTAGAATGCAAAGCCAGAAGTTGTGGGAGCCATTTCATATATACCACTGCATGTGCATTTTCTCTGACTTCTGTGGAAGTACATTTTTACTTGTTTAAAAAAACTGCAGGTTAAGTTCGTATGTATGCGTTTAGATATATACGTTTCTGGATAGTTATCAGCAGAATATATGAGAATGCTGTTAGTCTTCTCTCTAAAACAAATATCTGCTTTCCACATGCAGATGTTAAAATTAGCTGGATGACTAACATGTTTAGGTATTTATATTCTATAAGTTATTTTATAAGTAAATTTCACTAGGTAGTTCACCTCAAACAATGTCTCTAATCTGCTGGGTTGCACCTGACTTTCAAACCTGGGATATGAAAAGTACCATGCGTGGACCAAGAGATGAACTTTTGAGTTGTGCTAGCCATTTTTATTCTTTGAGAGCTAAGGCTGTGATTCCTCACCTTATACCACCACTGACCTTTGTGCAGCTGCCTCTTAGCTCTGAGATTTTACTATAATCCTGGAGAGGAGGCTGGACAGTAATGGCCAAACGCGGCTCAAAGGTAAATGACGTCAATCAGACAATTTTTAGAGTATCAATAATAATAATTTAATTAAAAAAGCAGTTACCAGTCATTGGATGTTTCAATACGAATAGGCATTGTTCAAAGCACTTTGTAAATATCAACTGTTATCTCTCACAGTCCTAAGAGGTCCATGTAATCATTAGCTACACTTTACAAATGAGGAAACTGAAGCCCAGAGATGTTAAGTAACTTGTCCAATGACATACCGTTATTAAGCTGAAGAGCAGAGATCTGGTCCCAAGTAATCTGGTTCCAGACTATATACTCTTGACTAATATGCTGGTCTATACTAAAATTATTTAAAAGATATCCTGATAGCAAAATCAAACTTATAAAAAAGGTAAGTTGCAATTCTGAGTGATTAGGCTTACAAATGATTGAGTAGAGGAGGCATTATGAGCAAAGGGAAACAATTTTTCATAAAACCTTACATAGGAAGTAAACTTGAGAGAGCAAAAGGGACCATGTGCTTTTTAGCCAATTAACTCTAAATGCCACCCAAACCCTCGTGATTTATTTTGGTGCACATTCCAGAAAGATTACAAACCTCTCTTGTTTTGGGACAGAATGGCTCAGCCATTGGAATATGGCACACTCCTCTGGCACAGGGATGACTCCCATCATAGAAGGTCTGAGGCCTTGTGGTGGTTCTAGAGAATAAAGTGAAAGGTTCGGTTATTTGTGTTTTAAAGCATCTCTCCATTTTCTGCAGGCTGGAGAAACCAACTGCATCTAGGTCGACATCCTGGTCCTCACTCCAGAATCAATAGTTCTGGACAAGCTGAACATAACTTAAAAAAAAAAGCAGCTTTGAGATGGTGTTTGGCTTCTCTGGCTGTGGTCTGGTGGCTGCGACAGGATAACCACACTGGATTGCAGGTACAACTCAACTCAGGGTTCAGGAGGGCGGGTAAAACACTTGCACTCTATTTACATCCATCACCTAGATTCAACAATTTCCAAAATTTGTCAAAATTGCTTTATCTGTTAGCATTTCCATGGTTGCAAATCCCATACTTTGTCATTTCACCCCTACTTCAGATGGACCAAAACATGTGGATTATTTTCTACTGCAATGTCATTATCACATCTGATAAAAATAACATTAATTCCTCAGTACCAGCTAATACATAGACCATACGCAAATTTCCCTGATGTCCTCACAAATATCCTTTTTGAAAAGAATGTTGCTTTGTTAACTTCAGGTCTAAATAAGGTCCTCACATGGTATCTGATTTTCATGTTTCTAAATTGAGAGTAATTGCTCTCTCCACTCTCAATTTTATTTTTCATGCCTTTGGCCCAAGAAAGCAGTGTTCTGTCCTGATCCACATTCAGGAATCTATCTCCCTGCTACCTTGTTTAGCTTGTTCCTCTACCTGCCTTAATTAGTTCTAAAGTCTCTTAGTTCCATTTTTTGGCAAAACATTTCTAAATTCACATAAAAGAGGCTAAAATCAACCCAGTGCCAAGTCACCCAGCAATTTCTCACCAGAAATATTCAGAATAAACCACCTTCTGAGTCCATTTTATTGTTCTACACTTGAACTCATGAGTAACACAGGAAAGAGAGTCCTTATCTTTCCTACAGAGGGGAGAGAATGGGAGGGACAGGGCAAGGGAAAGCCAACAGGGGAAGGTAGATCACTTAATGTCTACTTCCGGGGGGTGGGGTGGGGAGGAACAGTGAGAAATAGTTTTCCCCAGTTCAGTTTACACAGCTGGCATGTCTGTCTATCAAAATTAACCTGTTATTTGCACCCTGTCACATAATAAACCATGATACTAACTGGCACCAAAGCCACCTTGCTCAGAGATGAGGCCTCAGTACTGTGGAGGAATGAAAACTCTGTCTGTGCTCCTCCAACGCTCTGTCGTGTGTGTCTTAGAGGAAAGGCTAATTTAACCCTGAAGCAATTCCAGGCAGGGTTGAAGAATAGGTCAAATGACTGTTCTAGCAGCCCGTGTAACAGAGGCTTTTCTCTTCTTATAAAACTGACCATTAAAATGGTGCCATGTACTCTAGCTCTGGCTTGGTTTCAGTCTTAGATGAGTCAAGTATTAGCAATATCTCTACTTAACACCGTGATTAAAGAAAACATAGTCACAAAAACCTACAGCTGCTGTACCCCAATAGACATCTATGTGCTAACATCCCCATCTTATCTATCTGTCTCTCTTTTATTTCTATCCCTTTTTTGCCTAATCACTCCTCTCTTTGTTCTGAACTTTTACCTTAGGACATAACATGTATTGTTTATGCTTTATGTTACAAACATATGATACTTATTGGCTACAGTTTTAATTTCTCTAATAGAACATTTATCATTTTTCTCTTTACACAAAGCTCCTTAACTACTAGGTATATGGCTTATATCAACTTGGTTTTTTTTTTTTTTTGATTCTCCATTTTCCAATCATAAAATGTAGCACTCATTCACCCATTTATGAGGGTGTAATGAGGATTAAGTCAACCATGAAGTGCAGATAAACCACAGCAGCTCAGAAATGAGATCTGGGCTAGACAATTGGGAGCCAGTACAAAGGAGAAGCTGTGGCTGAGGACACCCAACCTTGTAAGAGGTAAGCGAAGCAGGTAGTCCCAGGGAAGAAATGAGGACTTTAACAATGTTTCTAATGGTTTCAGGACTGACGATACTGTCAAGGTCCTCGAAAGGAAGATGCAGATAGCCTGCCCAATCTGCACACAGCCTGCCCAATCAATGGTGGTGTTTTTCATAACCATGTTAAGTATCAGCAAAATCAATGGAACGCTTAATGATCTAAAGTTCAATCACTATAAACAGCAATACTCCTGTATAGCACAAAATGAGGAGACACAATCAATGATGGATGAAATTGAGATCAAGAGAAATGGAATTTACAATCACAAGTGAGGTGAGTAGAGGACACAACCCAAAGGAAATGCTAGGATGAAAATATGCGTAATTTTAAGAGCTCCTATCCTCCCTCTTAGGGTTTTTAGAGAAGTGAGAACTTTCACAACTGAGCAAGACGCCAGGAATAAACTCTCAGCCATGTCCCATACAGCAGGGACAGTTATCTGATGGAGCTTGTCATGACAGGGGGCCATTTCTAGCCAAAACAGCTCTTCTATCAAACTAGTAGTAGTTGTTCATCCTCCTGCTGAGTTTTCTCAGTGATATAGAGAAAATATAGAAAAAGTAGTTTTTTTCCCCCGGATTTGATCTTCCCACTGAACTTCTGGGTGGTCATGAGCAAATTACTTAACTTCCCTTAGTACTTTCTTCATAATGTATTAGTAACATCCCCAGGGCTCCAAAAACCTCCAGCAGTTACATCCCAATAAACTCTGAGGCAATAATGTCTCCATTTTATATGGCAAATATGTGTACTTGGGGCTAAATAATTGTTGCAAAGAACTACAACTATTATTGCCTTGAGAATGACCCAGCACCTGGCACAAGGTCTTCACTCAGATCACATGAGAGATGGATACAGGTGCAGTAGAAGCAACTATATGGAGTAGGTCAGTGGAAGATACCTGCAGATAGTTTCTTTCGTTTTTTTTTCCGATTCAATTTATTGGGGTGACATTAGTTAATAAAATTATCTAGGTTTCAAGTGTACAATTCTATAATACATCATTTGTATACTGCATTGTGTGTTCACCATCCAAACTTAAATCTCTTCCCCTCACTGTATAGTTGATAGTTTCTTGAAGGAAGAAACTAGGTCTGCAACAGTGCCCAAGTGAGCACCTTTCCATGATAAAGGGGACCCTTAATGGAATCTGTTTTTTCTTTCGTCAAGAGACAGAACTGAAATCTATTCCTGGGTCCATGGATAAAATTCGGCTCAGACAATGTCAAACTGGCTAGACCTGACAGGAAGCTGTGTTCTGGCTTTGGCTGAGAAGAATGGGAAGGATCACACACCTCTTGAAAGTAACCTAGACCAAGGACAAGAGAATTTAGGAGTGGCAGCTGTCCTACTGATTTGTGAAAGTGGCATGTGGTGGCAGGCAGAGTGGCTCTCCTTCCCCTCAAGGTATCTACAAACTAATGCCTAGAATCTATGAATATATTACCTTACCTGACAAAGGGGAACTAAGGCTGCAGATGGAATTAAGGTTGCTAATCAGCTGACGATAAAATGGAAAGATTATTCTGGATTAACTGGATGGGCTAAATGTCATCACCAGAGTCCTTATATGTGAAAGACGGAGACAGAAGACTCAACGTCAGAGTGAACAGATGTGAGGACTCAACCCACCATCGCCGGCTTTGAAGACAGAAGGGGCCATAAACCAAAGAATGCAGGTGGCAAAGAAAGAGTAAGGAAACAAGATCCTCTTCTGAGCCTCCAGAAAGGAATGCAGCCCTGCTGACATCACAATTTTAGCCACTGAGACCCATATTAGACTTCAACAGAATTATATTAAGTTTGTATTGTTTAAGTCACTAAGTTTGTAGTAATCTGTTACAGAATCAGTAGGAAACTAATATATATGCTTATGTGGTTTAAGATACACTTAACTCAGTTATGGTTTCTGCAATAACAAAAAACTGATGCTGAAGGTCTGCCCCCAACTCTTGCTTTAATCAGTAAACCCTGCCAGCTCAGCAGGGTGACGGCTAATTTCATTTCCCTGTTAGTGTGGGATATCCACTGGAAAACAGTCTTCAGGGATTGACTGATCTGACTGGCTTTACCACTCACACACCAAATGCGTGCCTTGGAAAGTCACTCTGATCTCCCTGCGCATTAGTTTATATCGGTTTTCTCACATTTAAAACGGGGAATTAATACCACTCACCTTCTATGGTCGAGGTGACGTCTGAGAACACATGAAGCTCAGCACTAGTAACTACTGTTTATGAGAAATGGACTTAACATCTGCCAACCTCAGAGCATGACACATATACAGCTAAGTCAAGGGTACCCAAAAAGTTGCTCAAGGTTGTCAAATAGGAATGTGTGCTAAGAAAATTTAGTGCACAAACAAAAGACTACCCCTGGAAGAGTGAAGGAGACAAAATGATGTTGCATACTAGCAAGAGAAATGAGTTCAAGGCCAAGGAGAGAACACTGGCACTTTCAGACAGAGGGGAAAGAAAGCCCAGAGAAAGACAGACTGGTGGGTTGTTTCTGGACCAATCATTGGATGAAATTCAGATCAAGAGAAATGGAATTTACAATCACAAGTGAGGTGAGTAGAGGACCAAGACTCTTGAATTGGCTCAGAGATAGCCATATGTTAAAATTTTTCCTTTGAGGAAATTCTAAGTTGTAAACAAGTTGAGGGAAAACACTTGTCCCACGGCAGAAGCAAATATAGCCACACACACGGCACATGTGCACAACAAGCCTCAGCAGGCAGAAGCATGAGTCAATTCTCCAGTGAAGCAGGGCCAACGGCTGCTCATGAGTGGTGTTAATTTAGGGGAACTGATTCTACTCACGTGACTTAAAAGATATCTGAACAATAATGTGCACAGAGACAGTTCAGTTTTCAGAAATCAGAATAAAAAAAAAGCACCCTCCCAATCCTCTTTTCCTTAAAGCCTGAGCACTGAGGGTAAGAGGGGCTCCCAGTAGCAAGTTTGTCACAACCACCTTGACTCTCAGTAGTTCTACTGCTGGCAATTTATCCAACAGGCATGTT